TATATATATTGTCAATTGACCATTGTTAAATTAACCACTTGAACAATCTAATTAACAAGAAAATGATTTATGAGGAAAGAAGTATGCATTTTAAAGTTTGGGTTTCTTCATCATTGAAGAGCATGAAACTTATGAAGCGACTCAACAAAGCCTTTTATGACTCTGAATGGTGTAACTGACTCGACTTCGGTTTAAGAATTATGGGTTAATCATTTACGTATATTCTCTATTTTTGGGTGAAGTTGTGAGGAATCATGTGTGTATTGTGGATTTTAAATTGTCTTAAAATGCATGTATCAGCTCAGTTTCTGGTTTGAAAGCATGAGAGTATGTTGTTATTCTCGGGGAAGGGAAAAAATATAATTAAATAAAAATGGTTTAATCCTCTATAATTCAAGTTAGTGATTTGTATCTTATGCTATGGTAAACTGTTTACACACCCCGCCTTTTTGCTATCTTGTTAGGGTTTGTGGTCGGGTTAAGCTGCCACACTTCTTCTGTTGCATTGGGATCAAACAAAATCCTGATGGTAGTAATTAAACACTTATTTTCTTGTTCCCCATCAGCTTTATTTATGAAGCTAAACAGGTGTATTAGGCATGCCTTATGTTTTGAGTTGTTCTTTTTAATCCTCTTAAGCGACACAATGCCTTAAACTATAAAGTTTCCCTGTTGAATATTGTTGTTTGGCATTTGAGTGTTGTTTTTCAAGTTCTGTTTAAGTTTTTTTCTGAACTTGTAGTTAATGACAACCCTTTAGTTGTTCAATTTTGTAATACATTATTAAACATGACTATAGAATAGTTAAAACGTCAGGTAAAAACTGTGTTCTCAAAGCATAAAAGGAACCTGACAGTAATCACAAAATAGCCACTTTTTGCTTAATGCCGTTGGAAGTTGGTGAACATTTTGAACAATTACATTTTTTTTTCAAACGTCAATTGGAATATCAAGAACTCGAAAATATAGAATTTTGAAAACCAACGGGTTACATACTAGCAATTAAATCGTACACAACTTCAAGGACTGACTGGGGAGACTAGAACAACTAACGCCCCTCAACTGCCAAAAGGCCATAATACCAGCTACACTGAAAACCAAATACAATGAAATTTACAAATCGAGGAATAAATGTCCAAAGCAACTACTTTCATTAAGAAACTAAAGGAAGCCCTTGTACTTAGGTCTTATGCAGTTGCTTTATCTCCAAGTTTGTAGGTGCAATAACTCCAACCCTGCAGTTTTTTGCTTGCCCTAGCCCTTTCCTTGTTGCCAACAAAACATATTTCCTTCACTCTAGGAACCCTCCATCTTGCTATCTGCATATTGTTTTTCATGGCAATCCTTGTCATGCATCTCCTTTCAGAAATGGCATAAGTAGCACTGACAACAATAGAATGTTTTCCTACTCCCTTAATTATTTCCTCAGCCTGCAGCACAATCCTCATCACCACATTACTACTTTTCTAATCCAGAAAAAGGATGTGCATAGTCAAAAGGTCCGTTTTCTAGTCCAAGGGAGGTCTCCTCATGAACTCATCAATCTTGATTTTATCATGTTTATGAGTTGTCAATAGGCTTACACTAGAACCCACCACAAGAATAACAAACAAGCAATCAAAAGAGTCCAACAATGTCTACAATATAAGATAATTGGACACTAAGCAATCATAAAGATAACTGTAGTGTAATTTTCTATGTGACTACTAACACACCACATTACTTACAATATAAGTTAATTGGGTATTTAGCCTACAAGCAATCATAAAGAGTGCAACAATGTGAAAACATTTATTTCAGTCAACTATGAAACTAAATAAATACATTCTAAAATCTCATATAGAAGTTTGCTTTACAGTATACTCCAACAATTCAAGTTGAAGCCTTCGAGCTTATGTCACATTGGAGGCCTCGCCAAATCGATTGAGTACTCTTGCCAAATACTCCATGCATTTGTATAATGTACATAAACATCTTGAAAGTCATGGTCTCATATACAAATGGGCTGAGTATCCCTTTTAAGTACTTTGTGCATTTGTGTAACGTACGTATACATATTGAAAGTCAAGGACTCATACGAAGATGATGAGGATTCACATTGCTTAAGTTGCAATTATGAGGTAACTATATATGGCATGTGACCCCAGTGAGCATGTTCTTGGTATGAATGCTTAATGCTTAAGAACTTGGTATGAATGCTTAATGCTTCTCTTTTTGAACCGAAGTTGAAAATGTTGAAGTCTGGCTCAAATGTTCTTACAAATCCGTTAATCCAACTAAAATTGAAATATCTACTTTTGAAAATCAGGGCGTTACATTTACATCATTGTTCGCAAGAAATGAAAAACGGGGACAATATTGTAGAGAACTAGGTTTTACACCTAAAAAGTTCGAACCATACGTTCTTACTCGTTGGAACTCAACTTATAAAATGTTACTGAAAACATATGCATTCTTTTATCAATTAGAGAAATTTTTTCGTTGTTCTCATCGTAAGGATAATTGTGATGTCACCGTTACTGTCGGTGATTGCGTAATTGTAACACACTCATGAAATTTTTAGAAAAATTTCAAGATGCTACAAAGTTATTTTCTTGTGTTTACTATCCTAATGCTCAACTTGTTGTAAATCAAGGTGTAGCCGTAATGTGAGGTTTTTAATATATTTTTACTAGTGATCGTGACTTACATGACAAACTTGTAAGAGATATGTTAAGAAAATAAATAAATATTACTCTTTTATAAATTTTTAATTGCAGCTTTGATAGATCCGTTATTACATGAAAAATGGTGGATCAATCAACTTCAGACATGTTATGATATTATGTATCAACTCTCACTTCCCATTGATGTCCCGACTATCAGTGTAAGGCCTACCCTACGACAGCTCATCGAGCAAGTAAAACTTTTTATTGTACGAATGGTTTAAGAAAACCGCAATCAGACTCGGGATGAATTCAAAGTCGTTTTCTTCAACCGCTTCTGGGTCTTCATCTTATGGATGATGAGGACAAGCGACACAACAAGCCCAAAACATTGATGACTGATGGAATGACTTTAATCCCTACAAAAATGCTAAGATTCAAAAGGCAAAGGGGACTAGATACAGTGAGCTTTATCACTACCTTAAGACGAATTTCATACTTCCGATTTTTCGTGAACCAGTTTCGCCACCAAAATTCGTCGTCTTGGATTGGTGATCAAAGATGACTCCCATTTATCCAATTCCATGCTCGATGGCCAAGGAGATTTTCGTTGTCCTGGCCCAATAGTGGTGGTTGAACAAGCATTATGCAAGGGAGAATATACACTGGCCGCACGACATTCGAGGATGATGCCAGAAAACCTAGAGGCTCAAATGGTGCTAAGGACTGCAAAAAGGCCGAGATGAGGGCACAAAAGACCATGCTAACTGTCGAAGATGATGAAGATAATGAGACATTGATATACAAGTGTATAAGAACTGCTATAATTTTGACTGAACATTATTATAAGCCAATTTTTTCACTAATTCTCGTTGATTTAGACCATTTCCAATTTGAAAAATCTCCATTTTGTAGTAATTGTCACATCAACTTTACAACTTTTCACTACTTACATTTTAACAATTTTAAAAATTAGACCTTTAATTATTTTTATGTTTGATTAAAAAATCAATTAATTTATAAATTAATAATATGCAATAAAGATTTTGAATATACATTTTTCCAATAAGTAAAAAATTACTTTATTCTTTATTTTTTAAATTTGAAATATATTTTGAAAAGTTATATTATTTGAATTTATTATCAATATCTTTATAATCTCTTCACAAATTTTTTCAAACTTTTTTAAAAATCTCCTAGAAATATTTTACAAATACTTTTATAATTTTTTAATTTAAATGAATATACTAGAAATATTTTACAAATAGTTTCCTAATTTTATGATTAAACCTAGTATAGATGTTCACACTCTATATAAATGTCTAATTGTGTATATTTCATAAATTTTAATATTATTTTAATTGTGCCAAGTAATATGAAAACACACATAGATATAAATTAGAGAAACAAATATATTTTGTAAAATATAATGGTTCTGCATTAATGAAAAAATGAAGAGGAAACTTATTGTGCTTTTATTAATTAGACTTAATTTGTTTCTTACTCAGAAATTATATATAGATAATATGAATATATAAGTTTTTGTTGAAATAATAATTCAATAGATTAATCATTTTTCCTTCACATCTGCGTTACTCGTGTATAGTTCATACCTCGACTGCACCACTTAAACCCTCTCTGTACCTATATTCTCCGGCAATCGTTGTCGTTACTGATTTTGCATTTCAATAACTTTACGGGCCTCGATGCTACAAAGCGCCGGGAGAAAAGCGAGTTGCGCCATTGGAGGTCTCCGTCGGCTGGCCCATGTCGTAGCTCGACTACTGCCGCTCTCGACCGCCATCGACCCTCAGATCAATACCTCACTACCGCCGTTGATTTTCCCGAAAGATTATGACGACAAAGTCGTGAGAGATGAGTTACCTTGTTTCCCATTTCCTTGTGGTGCCATAGAACTCATGGTTGTCCCCAAGAAAAAGGCGAGCTTTCATTTTTTTAATTATTTGACAATTTATTTTAAAGATTTTAGCCGATTGCTATCTTGCTGCTTCCAGTGCACTGTTCTGACAATTCTTATTATTATTTTATTTATTTTTTGTTTCTATTCTCTTTTATTGTCTTTCATTTCTCATCGGGACTGTTCTTTGGGCTCGTCTAGGGATTTGGGGATTAGGGTGAAAGGGCTTAGATAAGAAGGATATAATAGATAATTGGTATCATCGAATTTTGTTGTGGTTGTCTAATTGTATGGATATACAACCGGTTTTAAATATCTTTGAGTGGGGTTAGGCAAA